TCCTTCCCACACCAGCTCAGGGAAACGGCCAAGAGTCTGTGGGGGGAAAAAGGGCCATCCTTATTTTTGATTTTTATAATTATTGCTTACTTTGTCTTTCAATCAAAGGTAAAAAATATGTTTTGAATTTGTACCTACAGACTGCCTAGGACTCCCCAGAATGAATGTGATATAGTTATTTGACTGGGAGTTTATTGAAAAATTAAATATTACTGAGTATGTATGAGTATGTGTAGGAGAGCTTCTATGTATGTGTCACAGGCATATGTGTGAAGGTCAGAGGACAACATGCATGTAGGTCCTGGGGCCAGAACTAGGTTCGCAGGCTTGGTTTCAAGTACCTTTACCCACCAAACCATCTTGCTGGCCCCTAGCAAGTTAGTTTAGATCACTGGCTCTAATCTTTTTTTATGTGCTCTCTTCTGATACCATAGATGATGGAAGCGGCTCACATTTGGTATATTGGAAGTGGTTTCATCCCTTAAGGGTTCATGTGCTCAAAATTTGTTCCCCAGTATGGAAATATTGAGGGGTGGTAGGACCTTAAAGAGATGAGATCTCATTAAGTCAGGTCATTGAGGGCATGGAATTAGAAGGAATTCATCCTGGTCTTGCAAGGTGAATTAATTCCTAAGAGGAAGGGTCATTATTAAAGAGAGGGGGAGGAAGCTGGAGAGATGGCTCAGTGGAAAGAGAGCTTGCGGAGCAAGCGTAAGGACATGAGTTCAAATCTCCAGCACCCGTGTAAATATCCAGAAGTTGCCACTGGCATTCCTGTCACTCCTAGGCCTTGGTAGCAAAGACAGGTGGATCTCTGGGGTTTGCCGGCCACCAGACTAGCTTCTGGTTCAGTAACAGTCCCTGTCTGAAGGGACTGAGGTAGAGTATGATAGGGCAGGACCCCCAGTGCCTCCTCTGGCCTCTGAGAGTCACTCTGTATACTCTACTCACACATACATGTGAGATTGGGGATGACCCTTGAATCTTTCTGGCTTTCTGTCTCACTGTGTAATCTCACACTTTCAACATGTTTCCATCATGATGGCATCTGCCATGTTGTGACCTGGCTAGATGAACCTCCTCAGGAGCTGAAGAGATGGTGTTGGTATCAGACTCCGAACCCAGTGACATCACGTCTAGGGACCCCCACATCGTTGCTAAGGCAACTGTCATACATTCCCAGAATCCACCTGGCTACCTCCCACCTTTACCTGCGAGAGGCTACGTCACCACCCATATAAATAGGCAAAGCCCCCTGACCTCTCCTCTTCTTCCTCTTCTCTCTCTTCCTCTTCTCCCATCTTCTTGCCCCCACCTTTGCTCTATCTCCTGAATAAACCTCACTTGGAATCATTTGGTCCGGTGTGATCTGTCCTGAGCCTTGTGCGAACAACATCAGACGGTGCAGCTCAGACTACAGTGCAGGTCTGGGTCCTAGAGAAAAAGCACAGAAGTGTGCTTGACTGGTCAGAAAACTAAGGCAAGCTCAACAAGGCTGGAGAACACTCCACAGCCACCAGCAGGGAAACCCCACGTCTCCCAGCAGCACCAGGTCTGCTCCAACACCCTGCAAATGCACATGGATGCACACATACACAAACATAGGAGCACACATACTTCTCTACTTTTGTAGAGAAAACACATTTTAAAATCGGCTTCGTCGACATGTGTCTTGGTAATTTTTATGCTGCTGTGCTAATATACCATGACCAAAAGCAACTTATAGAAGGGAGCTTACAGTTCCGGGGGGAAGTCCACAATGACAGGGAAACATGGCAGGAGGTGGCTGGGGCAAGAAGCCTAGCGATCAGATCTCAACCACAAATGGGAAGCAGAGTGAACTGGATCTAGGACAAGGCTCAGTGCTCTGCTGCCGTGAAGAGACACCATGATCACAGCAACTCTTATAAAGAAAAGCATTTAATTGGGGCTAGGATACAGTTTCAGAGGTTTAGTCCATTGTCGACATGGTGGGAAACATGACAACACACAGGTAGACATGGTGCTGGAGAGATAGATGAGAGTTCTACATTCTAATCCATAGGCAGCAAGAAGTGACACTGGGATTTGTTGCAGGATATTTGAACACACTGTGAACCCCTGAGATAGTGTTCTGGTGTGGCCCAGCCTTTAGCACACACCTCGAGTCCCTCTGGCTGGAATATAGACACACCCTTAGTACACACACCTTTATTGTATTCAGCTAGCCATTATTTCTTTTTTTAATCATGTAGCCTCTGTTCTGTGTCTTTGTTCCCCCTTCTCCCAACCACCTATGTCTGTCTGTCTGTCTGTTTCTAAGGACTATTTTCAGGTATTCCTCACTACAGCATCTTTACAATAACAATCTAGGGAAGGTCCTGTGGGAAGGGGGTGTCCCTACAGTGATGGCTTCAGCCTCCCATGGCGCTATTTCTGTTCTTGCCCATTCAAGCCCAGTTGTCTCCCTGAGAATCTTTGTTAACCTTCATCTATCCCCTAACCCTGGTCATCCCTTTAAAAACATCATCACTGGACAACTCTTGTGCGTGCACGGCTCCTTTGAGAATCACATTTATTCCTTCCCGAGACTGACTGTAAAGTCCACATATGGGCTTTGGTCTCAGCTCCAACATCACTGCTGACTTCCTGGCTCAGCCTCTTAGCTAGCTGTTGTAATCCTGTTGAGTTTCACTTCTCTCCTGAGAATCTGCTTCTGAGTTAACCAGCCTCAGCAGTACGCTTGCTGTCAGGTCCCAAACACCATGTGGGGCCCTGGAAGTGCTTGACACATATTGACAACGACTGCCTTTTTGTTGTACCAACCATGCCCAGTGTGACATCCATCACTGTGCCCAGTGTGACATCCATCACACTCTTATCCCTGCAACAGTCCTGAGATAGGACAGCACATGCTACCGGACCCATGAATAAACATATCTGGAAGGGGTTCAGGGATATTTGTGGTCTGACTATGTGATGGTTAATATTTACTGTCAACTTGATGAGATCCAGAATCATTAAGCAGCAAGCCTCTAGGCATACCTGTGAGCGATTATTTAAATTAGGTTGCTGGAGGTTCAAAGATTTATTCCAAACGAGGGCTACATCATTACCTGCATTTGGGGCCCAGGCTACATATTGAGCTCTGTTTCCTGACTATGGATGTGAAGTAAGCTGCTGCTTCAAGCCCCTAATGCCTTTACCTGCCTGCCATGAGGGACCACACCCCTGAAGCAGAATACCCCTTCCTTAGGTTGTAGTTGTCAGGGAATTTTATCACAGCAACAGAAAAAGGAACTGAGACACTTCCTGAGTGAGGTGCAGAACTCTGCTTAGAACCCTGGACCCTGAACCTTATTCCCATACAATTCTTGCTCCTGTTATTCCTCCCACTCACCCCGTGAAACCATGTGGACTGGGGTCAGCACGCTGTGGCCCAATGTGACTCAACACTTGCTTTTAAGCAATGTAATTGATGCAACTGAAAAAAGGGGGTCCAAAGAATGATATTTTGTGACACGCTGTCATAGTTACCTTCAGCTGTCAACTTGACACAAACCTGGAGACACTCAGGAAGAGGGAACTTCAACTGAAAAATTACCTGGATCAGACAGGTCTGTGGGACATCCTTCTTCTTCCTCTTCTTCTTCTTCCTCTCCTCCTCCTCCTTCTCCTCCCCCCTCAATCCCTCAGTTTTTTGATACAGGGTTTTTCTATGTAGCCCTGGCTGTCCTAGAACTCTCTCTGTAAACCAGACTGGCTTTGAACTCACAGATATCTACCTGCCTTTGCCTCCCAAGTGCTGGGATTAAAGGTGTGCACCACCACTACCTGGCACAGGTGTTTTCCTGATTACCAATGAATGTGGGAGAGCCAAGCCTACTGTAGTAGGTGCCATCTCTAGGCTGGTGGGCCCCAGTTGTATAAGAAAGCTAGCGTAGCAAGCCAGGAAACAAGCCAGTAAGCAGCGTTCCTACATAGTTTCTGCATCGAGCTCCTGCCTTGAATTTCCTTAATGATGAACTGTAAAGCATAAGATGAAATAAAACCTCCCCAAGCTGCCTTTGGTGCTGGTGTTTACCACAGCAACAGAACAGTAACTGGAATATACATGATCATTTTGTGAAGCTTAGCTTTTTAGAGACAGTCCCACACCCATAGCAGCTTCTACCAAACAATGCCAGAGTTTCACCGCTGCAGAAGACACATGAATATAAAAGATCTGCTGTATGTTCCTTTATGGAAAAAGTTTGCTGATCCCTGGGACAAGAAATTGCCTCTTTGAACCCTCTTATGTGTGTTGGATGCAGCTTACTCTTCTGCCAAGGAGACATGGGGAGCAAAATCCCACGGCTGGCATTAAGAGAGTAACAACTCCTCCATGCTGAAAACATTCCTTTTTCATTCATGTACAGACCAAAGCTCTCACAAGGGAAGCAATTTATCTGAGGACATGGATTGGGCTGTGTGTGTGTCTGTGTATGTGTGTCTGTGTGTGTGTGTGTGTGTGTGTGTGTGTGAGAGAGAGAGAGAGAGAGAGAGAGAGAGAGAGAGAGAGAGAGAGTTTAGAACTGAATCCATTTTTTCTGCCTCCATGGACACTTTGCAGCTTAACTCCAATCTCAGAACCAAAGAACCAAAGCTCACACCCTCTGGCCAACAGCTTAATTTTCATTACCCAGAATTCCACAGAGGGTCTCCACTCCCCCTCCACTCTGCCTCAATGATGCAGGTGTACCAGGGCTAGCCAGTCAACCCTTGTCAAAGTGACCACTTCAAGCACAAACTGGAGACTGGACTAAGATGGTGACATTCAGTTCAATCCAGGACACTGGAACCTGTGTGAGCTGGGCTGCTGTCTCTTGGCCACATGACCACTGAACAATTAAGGTGAGCTTGTGGAGCATTTCTGCCTGGAGGATCTCATTCTATGTGTGTTTACATTTACTCATGAGCTCTGCTGTAGAACTGCTGCCAGACATCTTGGTGCTGAGTCCATGCCAGGGTTCAGGAGTACATCAGTGAATGCTCAGAGACGGGATCTTGCAGACAAAGGTAAACTTCCTGTGGCAGATGTTATTGTTCCAGAATCTCAATGCTGGGAACAGAAGAAGCAGAGAGTCTGGGTGAAGATCCACCTACTGCAGTAAAAGTCACCACATCACCACTCTGGAGTAAAAGTCCTCTCTAGCAGGCCTACCTAACTGCTGATGCCTGCAGGGACAGCTCCCTATCTTTGTCTCTCATAAAGCTGGATTTGATCTGCCACGTCTGGGAAGGGTGAAGTTCACTTACAGACTGTTCCAGCTCTGTTTTCTGGGCTGCAGGACGGCCACCTGGAAAGTTCCTTCCCTTTATCTACCACCGCTTCTTAGGATGAGGAAAAGGAATAGAGAAGAGGAGTGAGATGCTTGGACCTGGATTCTGTTCATGTTTCAAACCTAGCTCCATTTCTTGCCTGCTCTGTGACCTTGAAGAAGTGGCTCCTGGAGCCTGGGTTCACCTTGGGCCCCAGAGCTGATAGATCATGAATCCAGACAATGGCTGACACCTCAAGTCCATTCTCCTGTCACTGTGCTGTGCCACTTGTCCCTCAATTATCTCAGTAGCCTTTTACACATGGGTGAATAGTAAGTCTATTTCTCAGGAAACAGGCTCTCAGGGTGAATTACTCCCTGCAAGGACATAGCTACAAAGCAATGGGGCTGGAACTCAAACCCAGGAGTGTACTCTTCAGTGCCCACACCTCAGTGCTTCTCCAGGCACAGCTGTGTCCTAACATTCAGAAGACAGTCTGGGTTGGGGGCTTCCATTTTAGTACACTGGTGAGCTGACCCAGGAGACTAACCTCTTAGTGCAAAGATTTTGAAAAAGGGGTGGGGGAAGAGGGATATATGCTGTCCATATCAAATAACTTAATGAAATCTCTGCTGCCCATTCTAATTCTAATGCCTTTTCATCCATTTACAGCCTGATTGTCAATGAACCACTAAAGATCTTTTTTTTTGTTGTTTGTTTGTTTTTTTGTTTTTTTTCGAGACAGGGTTTCTCTGTGTAGTCCTGGCTGTCCTGGAACTCACTCTGTAGACCAGGTTGGCCTCGAACTCAGAAATCCACCTGCCTCTGCCTCCAAGTGCTGGGATTAAAGGCGTGCGCCATCACCTCCCAGCCACTAAAGATCTTTTAAAACATCTCTACCCTGAGACAGTGTCCCATTTCCAGGGAAACTGATGCTCTCCGAGGTGCTGAAAATGGGCCACCTCTTAATCTTCACTGTACTGTACCTCTCCCTTTGGTGCCTCTCCATGTTCGTATCACCTCCCTATCTCTCACAGTAACCCCATTTCTCATTGTGTCCCCATCCTTCATGGTGCTTCCCTGTCTCATCCACTTCCATGGCTAACTGAGGCAGGTCAATGCCCCATCCATTTTTGTAGCTGGTGTTTGTGACCTGGGTCCATAACTGAGATCCATAAGTGGAGTTTTGGTTGGAGTTTCTCCACAGGATCTATATTTTCCTTGCCTCACCTGCCTATGGTCATGATGGCCTATCCAGATGTCAGGAACACAGCTGCTCACTGCTCACCAGGACATACAGGAATGACAAAGACACTCTCCTCCCAGCTGTGGATGTAGGAAACACAGCAGCCATTTACCATGGCCCCTTTCCATGGGGTGGAGCCTAAAGCAAGCTCATTAATGTTTCCAGACTAAGTATGAAGAGAACAGGGTTGTGCCCTCCCCAGCCTTGAGTAGTCTGAACAGACTTGCTTGCCACCCAAGACTTTAACACCTAGGTGAAGCCAGCCGCTGTGTTTACACTTGCAACTTCCTGCAAGAACTTAGAAGAGACTGCCTGCTGAGCCTGCTTTACAACGTCATCCAGCTGAAACAAAGGATGGGTTCCGGAGGCTTCCCCTACGTAACTGCAGTGCTTAATATTAAACTTTGAGCTTTGATCAGAAAACTTTGTCTTGGCTCCGTATTTCTCTCGCCTTTCCATCTCATTTTAATTTCCAGCCTCCCTTTCAGGTGAACCCAGTTCGTCCTACACAGGATGTAACTCTGCTTTCTTTTTCTGTCCTCTTAAGATTTTTAGCTAATTAACTAACCAATGTGCTTATTTGTGTGTGTCTGCCTGAGTGTGTGCACACATGTGTGTATGGGTGTGCACACTTGTGGAAGCCAGAGGAGAGTGCCAGATGTCCTCCACTATCACTCTCTGCCTTATTTCTCTGAGAGTCTATCCATAAATACAGGCTTATGCTCTTGTGGCTAGGCTGGAAGCCAGAAAGTCCCAGCAATCCTTGGAACTTGGGTTATAGACATTTGCTAGGGCACCTGGCATGTTATGTAGATGGTCTGAACTCTAGTATGGAGTGAATGCTCTTAGTAACTGAGCCATCTCTCTAGTCCCTCCTCCATTCTTGATTAGGTCAACCCTACAATGGCCATCCATGCTAGCTCAGGGAAAGACTCAGCACAGCACTCACCACCACTTCAAAAGCATTGCAGATGATGTGGGTCACATTGAAGATACAAAGAACAACAAAGGGCCACACATTGTGCTGAGCATGCTGAATGGCTTAATGAGATTCCCGGTACCTGCTTTTTGCTTTTGTTCTTTCTCCAATTCCCACCCTACACTGCCAGTTCTTACACAGCTTCCTTTTTCCTAATCTGTTTTTTTTTTTTTTGTCATAGCATCACTAAACTATTTTTTCTTTTCCTTTTCTGGGAACTTCCCCTCTAGGCTTGAGCTTACTTAGTCTCCTGAGTGTCTTTTTGCCATGCTTGATTGAAAACGCATATCAACAAAGAAACCAGTGAAGAATCCTGGTCACTGTCTAAAATAATGAAGATATAGAGATGAAGGGGCCAATGGACAGAGAGGGATGGAAGGAAGCAGGAATGGATACACAAATGGATAATGGGTAAAGGATGGATGATGGATGGATAGAAAAATAGAGGAATATAGGGGAGGATGGATGAATAGATCAACACAGTAAAACAGATATAGAGGCTACGCACACTCGTTTATACTATTCCTGTGTGTCATGTCATACAGCCATGAATCCATTTCATCCTCATAGCAAGCTGGAATTGGAACAGACATGACTGGCTCCATTCCCATAAGATGATTTTATCTTACTATTGTAAATATTATAACCTAGGAAGGCATATTTCTTTTCCCATTTCTCTTTGCAGCTAACACCACCAAAGAACCAAGCTCAAATATCTAGCTGTAAGGCATGACTTCCAGGGAGCATCTAGAAACATCTGGTAGAAGGAAGAAATGTGTAGACAAAGCTCCAGTCTCCACCCAGTCCTTCCTGCTCAGAAACTTTCCTAAGGAGACTCAGGGTAACTGCTCACCATGTTCACCATAGGAGTGGTTCACCCAGTGCCTCGATATCTGTGAGCCCAGAAAAATCCCTCCACAGAAGTCAGGGCAGATGATGTAAGGGGAAACAGACAAATAGCAGCGCGTGTCCCTCAGTTGCTGGCACAGCCAGGTGGACAGAACCCCTGACAGGTGATTCCCATCATGGATAAGAGGTGAACACGAGCACGTCAGCGAAGTCATAGTGCACCAGACCTGGACCAAAGGTCTATCAGCTCCCGAGAGCACATTCCAAGTGCACTTTGCAAGGGATGCCATCTGTGGGAGTGTACACCATAAAGCATATCACACCTGAAGTAGGGTCAAAGGAGTTGTTCTTGCCTTCCACCTCATTGAGGGAAGGTCTCTTTTGTTTCTGCCCTGCTGCTGACTCCAGGGAGCCAACCTGAAAGTTTCCAGGCAGTTCTGTTTCTACCTACCTTCTTAGCAGTACTGGGATTACAGACGCGCATCAGATACAGACGTGTGCTTGCATAGCTGCTGCTTTTACTCAATAAGCCATCTTCCTGGCCCACCATTCCTGTACCACACATGTTTGTTAGGTCAGCTGTGACACTGGGTCAGGAGCTCTGGTACCCTGCAGAGCATGGCACAAAATTGGCAATTATAAAGATGATTCTCCCAGCATGCACTTCACTACCTCTGCTAACTTGTTTGCCCTCTCTTTCACTCAGGATAACGTCAATGAGAAATTGTGCTGGGTAGAAAGTAGCTTTGATGATCTGGGAGCCAGACACCAGTTGGGGACACCAGACTCCAATCCTTTTCCCAAGGGGCACTTAGTTAAGTCATAGAAGCCTGAGCCCACATGTGAATAGAGGCCAGCTTGGCAGATTTCCTACCAGCAGTAAACTGAGAGCAGTGTAGGTTGGCCTCAGCTCAGGTCTTGTTGATGGGGAAGACTCTGTAGCAGTGACCTTTGAACTCTGTCTGGAACAGGGGACATACCAGGGGGCATATCTGGGACAACTCTGACAAGGCTGCGGATAGAGAAAAAAAAAACATAGATAGAGGTGGTAATCATGTTGTCTTTGTAATTTACTATGTATTTTTAAGAGAAAACCACATCCATTATAATCAATAGTCTGTGCCTGAAGTCTAAAACTATATGCACATATCAGGAGTACATAGAGAGACCCTATTTCAATCAGTCAGTCAGTCAGTCAGTCAGTCAATCAATCAGTCAAACAAACAAGCTAAAAAGATTTATTTTAATTATTCATGCATTGTGTATGTGTATATGCTGTATATGCAGGCATCACATGTATGCAGGTGTCCACTGAGCCACAAGAGGGCACTGGCTACCTTGATGCTGAAATTACAGGTGGTTGTGAGCTGCCATGTTGGTGCTGGGAACAGAACCTGGGTTTTCTCTTAACTGCTGAGCCATGTCTGTAGCCCTCATTAAGATGGTTTTAAATAGCTCTTGGATAGCTCCTAAATTGCCTTCCTAGAGTTTAATCACTGCCTTATTTTTAGATAATTAGATTTTATAAAAACCTACTATGAATAATGCCGAGCCAACAGTTTCATGCAACAAGCTTTGTTGGTGTTTCTGGAGGTGTTTCTGAGAAGTGACTTTGATATAATTTCCAAACTGTCTTCTGAAAGCAGTTTCCCCTCCCACAGTCATATCTGAGGGGATCCATCTCACTCTGCCCTTGCTAGCACTGACTGCTGTCATTTCCTTGGGAATCTTTGCAAACTGTATAAGCAAGAAATGGTACCTTGTTTCACTTTGCAGTTTCAGGATGTCCAGCAAGGGTATGCATTTTCTGACTAGCTAGAACCAAGACTTTGTATCTTTTGCCTATTACACTACTGAGGTCAGGATTGGTTGTTAGTCATGAAAAGCAACACCTTGAAAGCAGCAACAGAAACTAACCCCATAAGCCCATATTTGAGATGATAAAGTTCTCTCAAGCCTTTACTCCTCTTGGAGCTTCTTGGGGGTGCTGTTCTTGGAAGCAGGACTCAAGATGGCTGATGGGTGGGGTGGACAATTGAGAACCACTAAGTCAGGAGACTCATGTAGTGAGCCGCAGTCCCTGTGGCATGTAGGTACTGGTCAGCTTTGTGTCCAGCCTGTTGTGAATCATAGGCTTGTTCTCTTCTTCCTCAGCTGTCTACCTGGCAGACACCTAGAGTCTTTTTGTAACCACCCAGAGGTAGAAATCTCTGCCTTGAAATCACTATCATAGCTGGCAGGCTCCAGAATCATAATGTGGTGAATAGGGGTTGGGGAAATGGACCAGTGGATACAGTACTTGATGTGCAACCATGAGGACCCACGTTCAGATCCCTAGCAGCTACGGAATAAGCTAATCTTGGTGGTGCAAGGCTTTATTCCCAGTGTTCTGGTGAGTCTGTGTGCAGTAGATAGAGATGGAAGGGGGGGGTCCTTGGGGTCCTTGGGGCTTGCTCACCAGCCTAACAGGTGAAGCTTCAGGTTCAGTGAGGAATCCTGTCTCAAAAAGTAAGGTGGAGACACCTGGCTTGGTGGCAGCACATTCCTTTAAGCCCAGCACTCAGGAAGTAGAAGCAGGTGAATATCTTATGAATTCAAGGATGGTCTGGACTACATAGTGAGTTCCAGGCCAGCCAGAGCTACATAGAGAGACCTTGTCAAAAAAAACAACTCAGGAAGTAGAAAACAATCTCTCTCTCTCTCTCTCTCTCTCTCTCTCTCTCTCTCTCTCACACACACACACACACACACACACACACAGAGAGAGAGAGAGAGAGAGAGAGAGAGAGAGAGAGAGAGAGAGAGAGAACATAGTGTACAACTTTCGAAGAACACTGTGTGTGTATGTAAGTGCACATATATTTGTGTATGTATATAGGTGCACACTCATGCTGGGCTATTGGCCCATGGGTCCTAGGAATGCTCTTGTCTCTGCTTCCGCAGTGCTGGGATTACAAATATAGATATTAGGCCTGTTTGTTTAAATGTGGTTCTGTTTGGTTCTGTAGGGATTGAACTCAGGGCTTCATGCTTTCAAGGAAATCACTTACAGCCTGAGCCATCTCCCCAGCCCCCTCAGTATTTATGATGTGCCCAACAGACATAGAGAAACTGAGGCGTCCATCTCAACAAGGTTCAACAAGACTTCCTTTGCAGTATCACATGCTGCTTCTCGGTGGGAGACCAGCACGCTGAGGAGGGCTCACTACAGCCCCCCAGAGCTTTCACCCATCTGGATTCATCTCCTGCCATTCTCAGACACCTAATCAGACCTCTGTGGGCGTGCTCTTGCCTTGACTATGGCCAACCCCTACTTCTCTTCTAGTCTCAACTGCGAGGTGGCTTTAGGTGCATCACAGGGGAATCTCTGGTAAGTGCCTATGCACCCTGACTTCATGTGCACCCAGGATTCTTGTCCAGGGCAGTTCTTCAGTAGCTGCTGTGATCACTCTTCTTCTCCTAGAACCTTGGCACACAGAGGGTCTACGGGACTTGGGTTTTACATTTTTATTTTAATTATGGGGAGGGGTTTACATGCATATGAGTGCAGAGAACAGTACCAGGCACTGAATCCCCCTGGAGCTGGAGTCACAGGCAGTGAACTGTCTGATGTATGTGCTAAAGTGGGAACTGAACTTGGGTCTTCTGAAAAGCCCTAAGCTTAACCCTGAGCCATCTCTGTAGTCCAGGTTTTGAAGGACATACAGCCATGTAGGGATGTATTCAAACAGGACTGAAAGCTTGCTGAAGTTGCCAGATCAGAGTTTTCCAGACTGTTCTGCACTATCATGTGATTGATGATCAATGTGGCATGGCCTGGACTCTTACTGACAACACCCAAGGCCGGGGGGGGTGGGGGTGGGGCGGGGCAGGGTGGGTGGGGCTGGGAGGGGAGGGGTGGGGCGGGGCCAAAAGCATGTCTTAGCAAACATGGGTGATTGAGAAAGTGTGAAATCTTGGAACTGCTCATCTGTAAGTAGAAAGATGAAGCCTGTAGAAGGACCTCTCTTCCTCCCTCCTGTCTCCCTTCTCCCTCCTCCCTCGCTCCTCTCTCCATCCTCCCTTCATCTTCTTTCCTTCATTCCTCTTGCCTTTTCCTCCTCCTTTCCTTTCTTCCTGCCTTGGATAGGGCTTGGTTAAGAGGAATTGATAATGAATTAACCAAGTGTGGCTGGGTGTGAAGAGGAGGGAGCAAATGCCATTTGGTCCCAAAGCCTTCTTCCCTCAGGTAGAAAGTGCTTCCAGAACTACTTGCACCTCTCTAATTCTGGTTTCTTTAAGGGTCCCCCCTCCCCAGGAAAGAGGCATTTCTGCATGCCTGAGCTGGAATAAACCAGAAAATGGGCTGTGGCAGGACACTGCCCCATTGCCCTCCTTCTGTGCAGTCCGACAGAGACCTTTAATTGGAAGGTCAGGAGGTACAAGCATGAACTCCTACCTGGATGGAATTTTCCTTCTCCCTTTGCCTCTGGGAGCCTAGAAGCTGACATTAAAGGGTTTTCATCAACTGGATCCCTAACCAGCCTCTGCTAGGCTGTTCATCCTCACAGGCACACCCTTGGATTTGTATGTTGACCTTCAGAAAACAGTGGTAATGTCAGAACTAAACCAACCTTTACTAACCACTCGCTGTGTGACCATGCACTGTCCCAAGAGCTTTGAACATGTTAATTTAATCTTCACATACCTGATAAGGTAAACACCATAATCACTGCTACTTTACAAAGGAACTCAGAGCACAGAGAGGGTGACTACCTTGTTAATGGTCACAGAATTGCTCATAGGTAGCCTGTGGGACCCGAGAATTGAGAGAGAGAGAGAGAGAGAGAGAGAGAGAGAGAGAGAGAGAGAGAGAGAGAGA